CCAAACCCAAAAACAAAAAAGGAACAAAAAAAATAAAAATAAAAAAAGAAAAAAAGGGGAAGGCATCGGGAACTTTCCCCTTCCCCCATCAATTTTTTTTCATTTTTCTTCTCCCTCCCGAACCAGCCCTGCCTAGCCTTGCACCAGCCCGCGCCCGCGTTTACCCCCTGCGCCCCTGCACGCCCGTGCCTTGCACTCTGCTACACCTGCACTCGATCCTGCACTCCTGCTTCTGCCAAAAAGCTGGATCCTCTGCTGCACCAGATCCCCTTGCCGTCTGCTGCGCCGAACCCACGTTGCTTGCACGCCTGCACTCTGTGCCAGCATCATGACCCTGCACCGAGCCTTGCTGCACCCCTGCTGCTCTGCCTCTGCACTCTACAGCAGCTCCAGACAAATTAGCATTATTATCGATTGATAGAGCAAGACTTTTTTATTATTTTTATCTTTATTTTTATCTTTTATTCGGGTATATATATAGAGAAAAATCAGATTGAAAGGGGGTTTTCTGGTTGATTTTCGGGGCTGGAAGGGGATTTCTTCTGGTATTGAGACCGGGGGTTCTGATTTTGGAGTTTGATTTGGGTTGATTTCGGGTCTTTTGGTTGAGTTCTGGGTTTTAATTTTGGAGTCTCCGTCCGTTTGTTTCTTGGAGAACAGTAGGAGGAGATTTTCAGGAGCAGAAACGGGGGGATTTTCTTTTTGTTGGGGGGAAGGTTTTTTGGGGTTGATTTCGGGTCTGTTACTGGGAGATTGGTTGTGGTTGATCTGGGGGGTCTCTTTTTCTGATTTCGGAGTTTGATTTAGGAGTCATTGTTCTGGGTTTCGGGGGAAAGGAGAGAGAAGAAAACCGAGCTGATTTCGGCAAGATTTCGGCGATATTTCAGCCTCCTTTTGCTAGGTATTTTCCTGCAATAGAGGAGTCTTTTTGGGGAGGCAGTGAGGGGAATGATCTAGGCTTGATCTCGTGGGTGGGATCCGCCAGATGGGACTACGATCTGTTACCCAGAAAGCTCCGTCGTGTTTGCTTCTTTTGTCTTCCTGTTTCCGTGACATGCTTTTGTGATGTTTACGTTTGTATATTGTAATTGCACCAAACCCGAAGTCCTTCTTCAGTCCGCGCTTGCACTTCGGAACGACCTGCAAA